GTAAAGCCAATCGACAGCTGGTCAAGAGGAATCTGCCGCCGTCTTCTGGTTGAACCGACCTTCGAATATCTTCACCCAACACTTTCATCCGAAATGGAAGTAAGCTTAACACTTATGAAACTAGAGATTCCTCTAAACCTAACTTTTTTTCGCATATATCTGCTCATGTCTTTTTATTTTTTTTATTAGTTTATTTCGAATCTATCTCCTTAAGCAACCAAGAAAGCTTAAACTCTTGTTACCCATTTGTTTAGACGAAAGAAGAAGAAGGCACAAATGACCTTTGACAACTCGCTCGCAAATAATCTCAGCCTCCCTCCGACGATACATGCCCACACTTACACCGACTACTCCTATCCGAAACAAACGTATGACAGACCCGATCCGGAGGGGGAATCAGCTCCACTTCCCACTGTGGACGGGCAAGTTGATCAGCCAGGCCGTTCATTATATATTGGAGATAGTTCCCAAGGTCGCAGACCCTCCGGTTCATCGTTAACTGTACCACTGGCCTCGCTGTTGAGACCCATTGATGTAACCTATCTGGGCTATACTGATTCAGATCAAATAAACAGACCTTCCTCTCTTCAGTCACCCCTAAACACTGGCCAGCTGGGCCCAAGCCCGGCTTCTGGCACCGTCTACCTCGGCGGCGAAGTGTTTACACAAGCTCCACGAGCAGGCAGTCTGCGGCCAGCGCCCAGTCGTGAAAAGCATGGAATGGATAGACTGATGCGGAGTTCGACTTCACGCCCTTTAATCGGCTCGAACTCGACACTCATGGCAGCTGAACCACTTGATGGCGAATACCTCGGCTGGCCTTCTGGGATGAAGACGATACAAGCAAACACCCCCCATTTATATCTGGGCGGAGATTATTTACTGTCAAAAGAGGAAGAGGGTCCTCATGTGTATCTGGGTAGGGACTATGAAGAGGAGGGTGAGAAGTGCATAGAGGATGGCTCGTCCGGAAAAAAATAGGGGTTCATAACGCCCATTCTAAAGGATCCGTAGATATGTGAAACTATCTCATAAACTCACACAAGCATATATGTATATATGTAATATGTAAAAATAGAAAAAATATTTATTTCTATCCTGTAAAATCTAATAGGCTATTATTGCAGCGAATATTTAAATAATATTTCTTGTAAGAGAATGTCATATAATTGACTTAACAAGTGATAATATTATTATAAATTTACTCAAGAATATCTAGACTTGACAAATAGTCTTAATTACTTATGGAAAGTATGAAAATATTAAAAGGCATGTATATAAAAAGTTGCGGAAGATAAAATAGTGCATAATATGGAAATCGAGAAGAATTAAGTCAACGTGGAAAAAATGCATTGAAAAGTAATTATTAGATAATAAAGACAAATAAATAATAGATAACATTTTATTGGAGCACCTAGAGAATATTAAGAACAATTTTATAAATTACGCACAAACAATTAACTTTAACAAGAATAAAATATGTCATTGTAATTTTAAAAACTAATTCAAGCAATAGTAAGGATAGTAATAGTTGTAATGGAATAGAAAGAGCAAATTAAACACGGCATGAGTAAGCATAATAAAATGCAGTACCAAAGAATGTTCATAGATAAATATAGAAAACAAAAATTAAAATCTTAGAGGTAATATCATGTAAAACACAAATATATAGACGGGTAACATGTAGAGATTATGATAATATTTATATATATACTGGCAAATTCGATGGTATTTTTGAACCTTCATATATTATATATTATATATGAAATTGTAATTGCTGGAAAATATAGGCAACGACTTCACAATAAATCAGGAAATTCCACTAATAGCTGAAAGCTTAGCTACAATTCATTAGATGAACAGTATGCTTATTTGTTAGATTTCCATCGGCAAATGCATCCTTTTTATTTGAAACCAGCCAAGGATAAATAGACTTAAAAATTGGCTTTAATTTACTTTTAGTTACTATAGGAAATTTAATCCAATTAGGCAAACGTTTGATAAGATACTGCATGACAAAGAACTTAAGAAGAAATAATGTAAACAGCGATATGGCTATGCGATTTTCATAGACAAAATCATAAATAAACAATAGACAATATTTTATTGGAGCACCTAAAGAATGCTAAGACCAACAATATTAATTACTTAAACAGAATTAACTTTAATACGAACTTTCAAAACAAAGTCAAATAATAATGAAAAGAGTATAAATAAAAGTGGAATAAGAATAGAATATTAAGCGCACAATGGGTAGAACTATCGATTTCTAATACTAAT